CAAAAACGATGGCTCCATTCAGAACACCCTGGTCTAATAAATCACGATGGCGCCATACAGAACACCCTGGTCTAAGCAAAAACGATGGCTCCATACAGAACACCCTGGTCTAATAAATCACGATGGCGCCATACAGAACACCCTGGTCTAATAAATCACGATGGCGCCATACAGAACACCCTGGTCTAATAAATCCCAATGGCGCCATACAGAACACCCTGGTCTAATAAATCACGATGGCGCCATACATAACACCCTGGTCTAAGCAAAAACGATGGCTCCATACAGAACACCCTGGTCTAATAAATCACGATGGCGCCATACAGAACACCCTGGTCTAAGCAAAAACGATGGCTCCATACAGAACACCCTGGTCTAATAAATCACGATGGCGCCATACAGAACACCCTGGTCTAAGCAAAAACGATGGCTCCATACAGAACACCGTGGTCTAACCAATCACAACGGCTGGATGAAGAACACCCTGGTCTAACCAATCACGATGGCTCCATACAGAACACCCTGGTCTAAGCAATCACGATGGCGAATGCTTTGGATGTCGAAATGGGCCTAGGAAGACAACTAGAAGGTGTCCACACTTACTTCAAGGCCCTGAATGTACAGCAGTGTGATGTAAACAATGTCGGACAACCTGTGTACTTCCGTAATTTCCTGGATATCACGGCTGCATTAATTTGTTCCTGATAAACTTTGGTTTGGACCGTATTTCACTTTAATAACACGGATATTCCTAAACACTCTTAGAATTGTGAAGCTTTCTGATCAACAAAAGTGTGATATGATTATGTTGTGAAGGGTTTGCTTTTTGTTTTGTATTGATGAAAACCTGTTGGTTGGAGCTGCTCGGCAGCTAGACAGGACACAGCTTCGCCTGGAGCAGCAGCTGCACGTGACGCTTTTCACAGCTGCAATCCTCATCTATCACGGGTCCCGTTCCACAGACGGATCCTACTCTAAGCTCTGGGACCGTCGTAACTCCCATACTTCAGCATACACTTACTAATTGTAGCGATACAAAAAAAGCTATCACACATTACACGAGAAAGCGTTTTATTATTACTTTGACAATGCCATTTCGTAATTAATTAATTGATTAATCAATTAATTGATTATAAATCCATCATTCATATTATTCATTTAATAAAACCTGTTGAAAACATAAAGTGTCAGGCAAAAGAAAGCATACACACATGTTTGATGGTGGCTAAAATGAAACACACAAGGAATGGTATTTCGATGGTATGTGATATCGGTATAAGAGCTGTGTTTTGGACGTTAAGTTTGTTGTGTTTAGGCGACTGTTTTAAGCCGAGTGACGTTTTGATAACGTTTATTATTTTTGGATCAAATTTAATTTTCAAGTGTATAGTTCTTTTACCCGGCAATGTATTCCAGACTTCATGCTTCTGATCCCCCCGTGGTGAGAGAGCCACGTCCTCAGCTCATGGGGATTTTACGTGCGCATCGACCATAAAATGTGAATTTGGACATGAAAACATCGTCACTACATATAAACACTAAGTCTTCCTATCTTCCTCCAAATGACTTTAGTGATGCAGGTGTGGGGGTTGGTCGCTGAAAGTCTGATCTGTGCCAACAACATTAAAAGTCACACATTGATGTACTTGACCCGATGATGAAACACATACAGCTTTGTTGAATAAATAAGATGCACAACCGATTTGCATATAGATATGATTTGAATTGTCAACAGAACACGATCTCAGTTATGAAATAATAGTGATTTCCCATTGTAAACGACTAGACTAGACTAACATCTACTACAACCGGTTAATTTTTTAAATATGAATTATTTAATTCAAAACAATTACGTCCGTGTATCGTCAATATGTTATAATAAATTTCACAGTAAGCCTAGTTCTTCAATTCCAGGCAACATGTACATAACTGCATGCAGTCTTCAGATTTGAGGCGACTCAAGTTGTTTTAGAAATATAAGAAGGTATTTAACAGGAAGAGCGTATGTATAGGTATTAATACGTAGCTTAGAGTTAACAACGCTAGATAAGGTTGACTAATTCAAATTGTATTCGTTTTCTATCTATTGCTCATTGAATATAAAACACAGTTTTTAAATTACTCCTGCCGAAATAATGTCCGTAAATACTCTTTTTACACACATAAAGTTATGTGATTTATGATCAACTTGAATTGTGTCTCTTGTCTCTTACAATTCTACATGTATTCGTACTTGCATGTGGTATTATGATGAATAAATGGTGTTGTCACAGCTGATATAAGAACTTGGGTAAACACACACATGGAGAGACACCTTAATCAGTATTACCACAAAGTTGATAACAATATGAAGCGCATTACTCCCACCAAGCTGATAATTTCATATGCATATTCACTCACTGAAACAAAACGCTGAATGACTAACAGTTTTAACAAAGGAGTATAATGCTTAGAATGTTCAGTTCTGTGGCACAGACAACACACATATAACGTGTATAACGCTCAAGCGAATTGAATAATGTGTGTTTATTGTTTACCGCTGCACACAGCAATATTCCAACTGTATGCCGGCCGTCTGTAAATAATCGAGTCTGTACCAGACAATCCAGTGATCGATCCACATAACTTGGATACGATGAAATGCATCAACCAAGTTAGCGAGCCTGACCACCGGATCCTGTTAGTCGCTTCTTACGACAAGCATAGCCACTAATTGTATAATGATTAAGGTTCACTCTGTGTGTATATTTTAAGTGTTAGTTTATGATAATTAATTAAGCAGGTTTGATTGTCCTGGCGCTTGGTATTACATACGGTGTAAACTAGACGACTACATATAGTTATCACACTCTTGTGACAAATGGAAACTTTCGCAATCCCCCGTTTACAGTTATGGGAAAAATCATTGAAGTCGTTTTACGCTTCAGTTGTCACCACCTCCCTTATGCTCAACAATTCATGTTTCATTGTGTGGGAGCACGTTGTACACTTATCATATGTAACCGAGTGGAGGCATCTGTGTCAGGCGATAACAAGCTTCAACTACACTGGAGGTTTAGGGAGTTTTCTAATGTAGAACCTTAAATACACTGAAGCTTTGATACCATGTCACGGGTAGCCTAACTACGAAAGGTGTACAGTACATCCTTAACAGGCTGCTTGTACTCAGTACACTTCTCGAAACAGTTAAAGAATCTATAACGTCTCCTCCTCCGAAGAAGGCAAGTTTGTTCTACCAGCGGACAAGGCGATGGCTTTGGTTTTCTGTGATCCCAAAAGAATCTTACTGGTGGACTGCCTTGTTATGTGTTTTTCTGTTTCACATTGTAACCAAGGACCTGGCTGGGTGGTAAGTACAGATAATATACCGTCGCCGTTGTGCGGGATTTTGCACCAGTCATGGTGTAGCGGCACTGAAAGTTTACAATTTCTGAAGAATTTACCAAATAACTGTACATAATGACTCTGATTTGAACTCTCTAATTCTTCTACGATAATCTTTCCATGCATATATGCAATACATGTACTACGAATAGATAAATAGATCTCTCAAAAATGTAGAAAATGGTGCTCAGTAAAATTTGGAGTTTGCTTTGTTTACAGTTTCAAACAAGCAGTTTCCTGAGCCCAGCGTTCGTTGAATTTGTCATTTGATTCTAAAATGTATGCAAATTCGGGAAGTATGTATGCAACTGACAGCGAACTATTAGTGATGTAAATCGGCATCTAATAACCGGGTTACGCGAAACGTGATTTAGTCAACACCATTTGAGTATCCTTTATGATGACAAAAACGCAAATAAAGGGTTCGACACAATCCATATAGAGCCGCTAAAGGGGGGAGCCGACATGTGGTGCGTATTTTGAAAGTGACTTCGTAGGGCTTGTTATCTTTGACACCATGTTTTAATAAAATTCGGAAACAGTGATGTAATGTCAGTGGCGACACGCCATGCATGGAAATAGCTACCACAGATACAATAGTGCACACATCAAAACAGTACATTATCTTCAAACTTCACACTATTGTACATAGACCACACTATTTCATCCGCATGTAACAGGTTCCCAGATTCTGTGGTGTCCTAGCTCTCATCGTGCCTAGAAGTCATTATGCCTATAGCCTCTAGACAACGCGTTCCTCCTGTCCTCTGAAGTTGAGTTGGATGTCGGTTGTCGGCACAATGAGCGGTAATAATGAAGGGGAAGTACTTGTCTGAACCATCCAACGGTTGTGGCCTAGCTGTTCCAGGGTGATGAAACACCCTATTCTGGAAGTTGCTTACTATATCAACCACGTTCTTATCTGCTACATACTCGGTTATATACAAGCCTTCGACATGTAGCTCCAATAATGCTCAGTGTGGATCGAACAACTTGAAGCGAACAGAAGTAGATCTATATTCTGAGTTGGTACATTTGGTACAATCACCATGAGATTGTTCTTTTGGTTACGATGTAAAGAAACCGTCACTTCAAATAGTGCATAATAAATATTGTGAATATATTGCTAAGAAAAGTGAAATGCTGCACACATGTTTACAGAGAGTGGGTGTATATCTGCTACAACTGTGCGTCAAGGAGGAAGTGTAATAGGAAAATAACAAGGCCAACAACTTGAAGCATTGAGTTTCAGTATATTAGGCGAAAAAACAATGGATTAATTGCATATTCATTTTGTTCATAAAAATTGTAAATGTCCATATATTAAAGTTCACAGTTTAATATTCCATTACCCAGATTTGTTATGCGCTAAAGCTAGATCTCCACCCGTCACCCAAAATCTGTCACGGAAAACTGTGTTCGCCTTTTAGGCTTCACCTATTTCATATTATTTACGAATGTAACTAGATAAATACAGATATTTTGAAAATAACAGGTCCCAATACAACTGGAGTAGAAACAACTATGATGCATATACTATATATTCCATGCAAGTCCAACGTTACCCTCGAATGCGGGAGATGTCAGAGAGTGATCTCCCCTACATTGCTCTCCTGTCAAAAGAGGTAGTTTCAAACGTCGATCTGTTTTGTATTTGTTTTGTGTTTCCAGGCAAGTCATTCAGATGTAACAAGTTTTGGAATATGTGAAGAGTGAAGTAAGTATCTTTTATCAGGAAATGAAGGGATATACATTTGTAGACTCCTTCTGGTGACATTGTTATTCAATTTGGCAATAGGTGGATCTAATCAGCCTTGTAGGTCGCCTCGTCGTTGTGGAAGTGCGTCTGGATAAAATTGTAAACTGACATGGCCATGTCATTTATTTCTTAAACTAAGCAGTCTCTGTTCATTATGTGCTGGTGGTTGTTACAACTTGTAACAACGTTTCTTGAAATAACACTGCCCTGGAAGGTACCAGAAAGCATTTCGGACCCCGTAGTATGTGGCCCCCGATCCATAGGCCTACCACCACACGTCAGGTGTTTTTAGCAATGATCGGTTCCACCGGGAATTAGTTCTGTCGTGAACAAATATTGCCAGTGTAAATATATCTTGGAAATCATTTCCTGGTAAGATTTCTTCCATGGGAGTAGTCCTATTGAAGGAACAATTTCGCTATAAGAACAGATACTCCAGATTTATATTGGAGATTTTACGTGCGCTTTCCGACTGCAAGCGTATGTCGCACACGGGTTTACTCCAGATAATCCAAGACATTTATAGTGTCGTAGGGGTTTTAGCTAAAATGGCACCTCAGCAAAACAGCACTCAAGCGAAAACGGCACCAATTGCCAAACGACACCTCACCTTAAAGGGGCACTAATCTCTGGCTTCTTCTCAGCTTTCTGACACTGGCTGCTCGTTAACGCAACTGAGCGTGACAAAAGACTGAGCTACCGTCTGCAAGGACAGCTGCATCTGGAGGCAATATTTGTTTTATGCATTTTTTAACACTGATTGGTTACCCGTGATCTATTGCGATTTCGACAAAGGGCGCATGTTAATTAATTTCTACAGCCTAAAACAAACCGACAAAAAGAGCGACGGAAGCTCATAGAATGTCGTTATTTGGAAATGGTTATAGTTTAATAATAATAAAAAGTATCCCTGCAGTGAAAACATTTTCGGAATTTGGATTGCGTGGATAATAGGATTTCTACTCCCATGTTGCCATCCATATTTTCTGGTATAACCCTACACTTGTGCATTTGTCGTCATTCACTTGATGCGTAGTTAATGAATTTATTACAGGTATAATTAGTGGTAGCACCACTCAGATTACCTGACAAAGGTTCCCATTTGGCATTTATTGTGTCTGGGGTAATTATTCAATCTAAAGCCAGGTTTGAAGTGATTTGAAATGTGCGTTATGTAATATATGCACGTGGCAGCCCAGCAAGAGATCAATGAACTTTTTTTTGTAAATCAACGGATCATTCCTAGCCATCAAAGGATCAACAGAAAATATGTTGATTGATTAATCACTGTTATCTTGTACTGTGGATATGTCAAAATTAAGTGTTTACATGTGTAGGTCAACTAGAGAAAAGGGAATACACTCATATCATGGGGTGAAGTGCCGATGTCAAAACAACATACTTTGTTCAAGGGGTCAACCGATAATACATTGATTGATTGCTCATTGTTATCTTACTCAATGGATTCTTTTAATGAACTGTGGACATTATGAAAATAGTTGTCACGTGGGCTTTCTCAGCTGACCTTTGAGACTTGACACCTATGTAAAACACCTGAAACAAACTAACTGATCTGTTGAGAAACGAACACCGGTTATAATACATTTGTATCCCGAAACGGTATATATATTTTAAAATATTTGATTGTTACAGAGACACGTGACATCGAATACGTTTCTTTGTACAGCTGCAGACGTTTGGGATATTGTTCTTTTGTGTGGATATTCACGGAAACATTCCTCGAACAAGGAAGCTGCCTAAAATTATACATATAAATTTGGTAGGTTGTAATTATGATATTTGCATTTTGTTTTCCTTCATTTGCAGTAGCATTGGAGAGATTCATTCTTGTTCCTCTACATCTTGGTTGGGAAATTCTTCGATGCGCGATTGACGTTGTTTTCACAAGTCTTTTCCTTTGTATAATACAGTCAATTTGTAAAATGTGATTCTCTCAGGCAATTTATAAAATGTGTAAATATTTCAGTCATTTTGACTGAAAAATCTGTCCATTTCTTTAATTGACAAAAATTGATTAAGACGGTCAATAGGGCCTAAAAACATCACAATAGATTATTATGTAGGATTAGAAGCCAAAAAATATAGAAATGTACTTGTCATCGTAACATTTTCAGTCTCTTGGTGATGATATTAAACATAAAAATGTTTGGAATTCTTTGTCATAATAATACTGATGGACATATTTTTCAGTCAATTTGTAAAATAACTGAATATTCAGGCGTTTAATAAATTTCCTAAGTGAAAATTTTGTACATTTTGACTGTAAAAGTAAAAACATAATAAAATAAGCAATGCTCAGGAGAAATATTTACTTTGTGTTGCAAGTCAAAATAGTGTAAACGAAAATCGCACAGTTACCAAGCAAGTGACTTATCAAAACTTCGTCACCATTACCAATGCTACCCACAAAGATGCCAACATTTCCTTATTATTTCCAAAACTGTATTTCATTTGTTGATCAATGTGACCATACACCCTTATACTATCAATAAAAGTGACAAATGCGGTTACGAATTGCGCGGCACAGGTTGCGAACTTGTCTAGGTTTCTGTTGTATCATCCGGGTACTCACAGGAAAAAACAATAACAAAGGTAACAACCAGTCCCGGGGAATTGCTTTAGATCAGTGCCCCTTTAAGCTGACACGCCATGATTAAACTGGAATAATGTTAAAAGTGGCGTGTAACCCAACTCACTCACTCCTCTAGGTCTTGGTTAGGAAGTTCTTCAATGCATGACAGACGTTGTTTTCACAAGCCTTTTCCTTTGTAAGTGTGTTTATGTTACAGTCAATGTGTAAAATGTTATTCAATCAGGCAATTTATAAAATGTCTAAATATTTCAGTCTATTTACAAATTTACTGAAAAATCTGTCGATTGATTTAACAGATTGACTAAAAATGATTAAGACAGTCAATAGACAATAGATTAATTATGCTAGGATTAGAAGCCAAACAATATAGAAATGTACTTTTAATCCTAACATTTTCAGTCACTTGGTGATGTTATAAACATGAACATAAAAACTCATTATCATAATAATACAGATGGACATATTTTCAGTCCATTTGTAAAATAACTGAATATTTAAACATTTAATCAATTTCTTAAGCGAAAATTTTCCACATTTTGACCGTAAAAATATAAACACGATAAAATAAGCAATGCTCAGGTGAAATATTTACTTTGTGTTGTTAGTCAAAATAGTGTAAGCAAAAATCATACAATTACCAAGCATGTGACTTATTAAAACTTTGTCACCATTACCGATGCTACCCACAAAGATACCTACATTTCCTTATTATTTCCAAAACTGTATTTCATTTTGTTGATCAATGTGAGCATACACCCTTATACTATCAATAAAAGTGACAAATGTGCTTACGAGTGGCGCAGCACAGGTCGCGAACTAGTCAAGATTTGGCATTTTACCCCTTAATTATCAGCCATTTGTAATATTTCATTTTGAGGATATTTTATATGCAATATTTTTTATGTTTTCAAGTCAAGTCAACATAGACATGATTGACAGCATTTTCATGATAACTTGATTGTGCGTTTTACACCACATTGTTAATAGTCAAGTTAATCATGTAAATACCAACCAAATTAATTTGGTTATAAAAACAAAAAGGCCTCTCCCTACTATTAGGTATCGGTTTTATTATGGTTGAGTATAAACATGGATAAAGTATACTTGTGCATGTATGTCTGTCAGGGGAGGTCTGGTGCTTTTTGTCATCTTTGAAAAGGTGCAGACATCACAAAGGCAAAATGACAAAAATATATTGATAAATTCCCCAGTTCACATAGCTTCTCATCATTGTTACAAAATGGTGGAAGCCGAGTATCTAACTTCTAAGTTACACTAAACTGGAAAGGAAAGGAAGGAGAAACTGAGTGTCTGAAGTCTCTTGCAATGTCTAATTCCCTGTACTACAAACACAATAATGTGCTTCACTCAAGGAGGATAAACCTATGCTGCATCTGATCTTAGTTAGTTATACATGTACAGCCTTTTCCCCAGATAGGCATTAATGTCCTCGGTCCTCCCACCATGATGAACAAAGGTAATTTAGAAGTACAACACACCAGTTCTACAATGCTAATGTCTGAACCACAGACAGACTGATGATAAAGATTTATCATCCACAGTGGAACCCTGTTTATCCAGATGGTTCCATATAAGAGGGAAGTTGTGATAAGATAATGCTTGCTACAAGATATGACTAGTATCTAACTGGTTAGACAGTCTGTGTGGACCATGTTCAGTAAGGTTGGTGTTGATATGTACTTGATACATACCTACTATTATTTGCTACACTTATTAGACCAGATTTGTTTTCCAGGACACAAGCTTGGGATGGAGACCTACCATGTGTGTGACAGGCAGTTGTCAGTGAGGCTGTAACTACATTTCTGATTGTGTGCACAGCAAATCTTCTGCCTATTACCTACTGCTCACCCATGAAAAGTCTGAGAATCTGAATGCAGCCACCAGTTAGACATGACAAGTGTCTTATGCAGCTATTTTTTATTTTTTAAGTTATGTGAACTTGTTAACTTTATCTACGGATCAAACTTGCTGTGGGATAAATACCCAGGACCTTATCTTACAGATGACACCAGGCTAACAACTAGCACTACAGTTGGGTTGCAGAGTCTGTTACGAATAATGTATTGATATGCAAATAAGTGGCGGTTTACAGACATGTACAGTTAAGACGTTCAATAATAGTCACAACGTAGTTGATGCAAGTAGTATTTACCCTGACTTCCCGACAAGGACAATGTTGTATATTCATGAAAAAATATTAGCAGAATATGCAAGACGTGTGTGTGAAAAACTGGTAAGGCTTATTAATATCAATTTTGATACTGGTACTCTAGACTCAAGGATGTGGGAGAGAGTTATCTTGATATATGTCTACATGGATGAAGTGTGCGGAGCATACTATTTCTGAACGAATATTTTAAATTGGAAATTGTTAAATTTCATTTCTCAAAAGAAAATCCAAGATCTCCCAAAGTCATCTAAATCCTAATGCTTGACTGAAGACTATTGGCATGATTGGTGTAATGTCTGTTTAGTCTCATATTGATAACTGTTAGGGGTGACTGTTGGGGCTACTTGCGATAGTATTGTTGAACAACAACAAACTGTCATTCTGCTGTCCAGTTCTTTTTATAAAAACAAAAGTTTATCAACATGCTGCTATTTCAAGGCAGAACCATGTGCAGTAACAACTCGAACATTAATTGTGACTATTAAAACGATAGATTGTTAGACTGTTGCAGTCTGTGCCAAAAACATTAGTCTACCAGCCCCAACATGGCTCTAATCATCATGTTCAGGACAGTTTAATGTTATCATATGGACTATTATTTCCTGAATGTACTGGACCGAACAGAATTTGACCAGATTCGGGTTCCAGATGGCTATTGACAATTTAAAATACTTGTCAATATAGTAATTTTATAGGACAAACAATTGCAATACATAGTTTGATTTATCATTTCACTCTAATAAATGTGTTCTTCTATTCCATGGTAAGTTAATAGATACAACTTGTACAACTATCCGTTCAAGCATTGTTATTAAGCTGCTTTAATATTAACTCTTGTGTAAGTTAATCTTCAGGAAAGAAATATGATTCTCCTGTGGCTATTGTCTTAATGACGTACTCCACTCACAAGTGGCTGTCCAACACAGGGGAGATAACCCTTGGTCAGGTTTCATAATTGGTGAACTCACATCATCTATTCATTGAAATTTAGTAAAATGGGGGCTCTGTCATTTTCGTGGATTACCCAAAATTACAATTTGAATCAAATCATGTATATTTAACTCATGTGTCATTATGTGTACAATTCTTGAAAATATTTTATGTACTTATAGTTTCCTGTTGTCAATGTGTTGACGTGAAATTCATATAACATGTTTTATCTTCAATTAAACATAATATCTGACTTGTTTATTCAAGGTCAGCTTCATTATTGACCATGTGGAGCAGGTTTCTTGTTTGAGACTGGTTCCCTCATCTCTCCCAAGAGACAACAGTTCTGGTTCAGTGGGAGCATATTTTAGTTTACTTTTTTTTATTTTAATATGCAGTGGAATCTGTCCAATTCGGACTCGGTTCAGACCAGTAACAAAGTCCGGTTTACGGCGAGGTCAGGATTACACAGAGTACAAAAAGTGTGACTGATGACGAAACGTAAAGCAACTATCGTTGATTTTTATTTACTGCTGCTGCTCGTAGTCTTTGGTTCCTCAATTAATGTAACAATCTTAGCAACTTCGACACGCCTTTTCTTTGCCAGTTGCTCAGCCTTGCGATTGATAATGACAAGCTGTGTTTAAGGTTATTTATTGACACGCTCATGACACTGAGATACTCTAATTAAACTGAGTTTCTCATTAACAAGTGAGTAAATTCTAATTAACCAAGCGGACAACAAAGTGTTCAGATCAGTAGGATTACTTGCCGAATTAGCAATGTTGTTTCAGCTGACAATGATTGAGCTTACTTCCAAGTGAGAGAATATGCAGTCTGGTCTGGTCCAGTCCGATTTAGACAGCTTCTTTTCAATAGTAAATTGGTTGTTGGGACTGTAATTTTAGTCCAAAGCCTGAAGTGGAAAAAGTCCAAATTAAAAAGTTGTAGGTCAGTTTCATTAATGATAATTTATTTATCTTAGTGAGAGGCCTGAAGGGAAAGTCTGATTTTCACCGAAATCCAAATTTGGACAGTCTGATTTGGTCAGATTCCAGTGTACTTGATTTATTTGTTTGCGTCAAACATGTATCAGTTGAAAATTGATTGATGATCTCTTGTTTTCTTAAGATTGTTTTGTCTGTGTCCAAAAGTATTATTCATACAGCATTTACAGATGAAGATTTTATTGTCCAAGGCTGTCGAGTAATTACATAATACTTACAAACATGGTTAATAGTTTATCCCACCCCAGGGTAGAGCAAATCTAGGAAGTAGGATATCTTGTAGGGCACTTGTAGATCTTGTTTCACGGAACACTGTATGTTTGTGTTTCAGGTTTAGTTTCAACGTGCACTATAGTTGTCCAAAGGAGGTCTACACTGGAATAAAGACATTAAACAATGCCTGAGACTGTCCCAGGGGTGAAGGAGGTCCTACCCAAACAGGGCCTCTTGTATCAGGAAGACATGCCCACAGTGGTGCTGTGTAAACCAAAGTTGCTTCCTCTCAAGTCTGTCACTCTTGAGAAGATGGAGAAGATGCAGAAGGAGGCCCAGGACCTGGTGAAACAGCAGGACAAGGAGGCCGCGGTGATAGCCCAGATGGGGGGAGGGGGCTTCAGTGAGAGGTTCTAGTTTGGGAGGGGCATCAGTGAGAGGTTCCAGATGGGGGAGGGGCATCAGTGAGAGATTCCAGATGGGGGAGGGGCATCAGTGAGAGGTTCCAGATGGGGGAGGGGCATCAGTGAGAGGTTCCAGATGGGGGAGGGGCATCAGTGAGAGGTTCTAGATGGGGGAGGCATCAGTGAAAGGTTCTAGATGGGGGAGGGGCATCAGTGAGATGTTCTGGAACGGGGAGGGGCAGGTGAGGTTCCAGATGGGGATGGGGGCAAGAGTGAGAGGTTCTAGATGGGGAGGGGCATCAGTGAAAGGTTCTAGATGGGGGAGGGGCATCAGTGAGAGGTTCTGGAACGGGGAGGGGCATCAGTGAGAGGTTCCAGATGGGGGAGGGGCATCAGTGAGAGGTTCTAGTTGGGGGAGGCATCAGTGAGAGGTTCTAGATGGTGATGGGGGCAAGAGTGAGAGGTTCTAGATGGGGGAGGGGCATCAGTGAAAGGTTCTAGGAGAGGGAGGCATCGAGAGGTTCTAGATGGGGACGGTCATCAGCAAAAGGTTCTAGATGGGGGAGGGGCATCAGTGAGAGGTTCTAGATGGGGGAGGGGCATCAGTGAGAGGTTCCAGATGGGGGAGGGGCATCAGTGAGAGGTTCCAGATGGGGAGGGGCATCAGTGAGAGGTTCTCGATGGGAGAGTGGCATCAGTGAAATATTCTAGATGGGAGGTTCTAGGAGGGGGAGGGGCAAGAGTGAAAGGTTCTAGATGGGGGAGGGGCATCAGTAAAAGGTTCTATATGGGGGAGGGGCATCAGTGAGAGGTTCTAGATGGGAGAGCGGCATCAGTGAGAGGTTCTAGATGGGAGAGTGGCATCAGTGAGAGGTTCTAGATTGGAGAGTGGCATCAGTGAGAGGTTCCAGATGGGGGAGTGGCATCAGTGAGAGGTTCTAGATGGGAGAGCGGCATCATTAAGAGGTTCTAGTTGTGTGGAGGGGATTAGTTGAGTGAGAGAATCAAGTTGAAGGGGGTTTAGTGAGTGGTTATTGATGGGGATTGGGAGTGTCTAGATGGGGATTAAGGGAGGGGGAGAACATTATAGAAAGGGAAGATCAGCTTCATTTGTGAATTCTGTCATGAGTAGGGAATGATTCTAATGATACTAGTTTCAAGCCTTTGCAAGAATTCCTGCAGAAAATCAATCTTTTGCAAAGGCAGCATTACCTGATATGTGATGGAGTTGTACAGGATGTACAGAACAGATCGTGTTATGCATGTTGTACATCTCAGAGCATGGAACACTGTCATGTCTACTTGTACTGCATAATAGGAGTTCTGTTAACTGTTCAAACTTAATAGAGTTGTTAAAGAAAACTAGTTTCACCTGGGACTAGAACAGTGTAGTACACTGTGACGTTTTTAATGCAGATTATATGTTATATATCAAAAGGCATTATTGAAAAATAGAGAATGCCCACTTGCCAGTCTTACTACTTCTAGGATGTAGACGGAAGTGATGATGCTTGTACACCTTGGAGCACCTGTTGGAACCTGAATCCACTCAACTCAAGGTGGCACACATTTCATGGGATGTGAAGAATCAGTTTGTCATGTCCAGGTCTTGTTACTTGCGACCTCATTCAGATCAGATGTGCATTGAAGAGGAAGAAGACTTTAGTGCTCATATTATATTTCACAATGTGTAAAGTTTGTGTGGCAGAATGGATGAGTTAGACAAAAGTATAACCATCAACTGAGTTCATAATTTATTATTATCTCAGATCTCTTGGCTCTCTTAGAACTGAAGTGGTTAAAAATCAATTCAACTGATGAATTGGTGTGCAGCCTCAAAATAAAATATACATGTTGAATTTAGCTTTACACCATTTTCTCAGCAGTGTATGGGTACCAGGCAGGAAGAGAAAATGTCGTGTGTGATACAGATGTGATGGATGCATCCTTTTTATGAATACTAGTAGGTTATCATTGTCACAGTCATGTCATTATCCATAGTATTCACAGCCCAGAGAATGACCAGGAATTATCAGGGGAAATATTGCTCTACATTGTATCACACATCAACCCGATAATAATGTCCATTAGGAAAAGTGGTAATTGTTCAATGCATAGCCACAGATAAATGGAGATTGTCTTAAGACATCACTGTCACCATGGTAACAGGCATTTCTGGAATTCCCTGTGACCATTGCAACTCCGTCCACATGTCCAGTCTATATTGATATGTCTTCAGTAGTCACTAATTAAACATATTTAGCAAGTAGTCTGTTGTCTGTTGTTGGTATCCATTGTGTCTCATCCAATACCAGGGATACCAGGGTAGACAGGTAGCCAAGCAGTTGGGACCTTTTGGCTGTAGAGTCTGGGTTTGTTTCCCTGACATGGATGCCATGTGTAAGGGTCCGTTGTTGATGTGCCCTGTCGGTGAGAGGTAGCTGGATTAATTTTTATAGCGGAGAACTCACTTCACTCAAACAATATAAAGAGCTGAAAACCGATTCTGTACTGGTATGGTGAATAGTTACCTCCCTTTTGCCATGAGCATGTATGAGAGGCTCAGAAAGTGTGTGTGGCACAGCTACTTCGTAAGCCAGCATGGCGTTGACACGTCAAAACAACAGCAAGGAAGCTTTGCAAGGTAACGTACTACAGGGCATGTCACATAAACTCCAGCGGGATGTTTTTAAATGTTTACGTAGCTATGCATGGACTACTCAGAATTGTTATACATATTCTGTGTAGCCACGCAAACTCGACGCAGAACTACTGTTGATTATCTGCGGACCTCCTTTAGGGTGCCCCCTGGGGTCGGCCCAAACGTGTTGGATCACCTGTTATATCCCTTAGCGTTTTTACATGGCCTAGGATTTTTTATATTAACTGCTGAATGTTTTTCGCTCTTCATAGTTTAATGTTATTCATAATACCACGCAATTCCCCATTAAATCTTAGACATGAAACTTTAAAAGGACTTGAAATAATAAGTACAACAGATATTACTGGAACAAATAATAATTTACATAAAGATTATACATTCACGAATGAGTCAGTGTCCATGCAGCTTTTCCCAGTCATTGATTGTATTGTTTGCATGTCCAAAGAATTATTTTGTGTGTCATCTTGCAGGTTTAGATTTGACACCGAATACGTGCCCATCCGATTTTGTTATGTTTGTTTGTTTGTTGTTTGTTGTTTAGCGCCGCACTCAGTAATATTCCCGCTATATGACGGCGGTGTGTAAATAATCGCGTCTGGACCAGACAATGACATCATGAGCATCGATCTACGTAATTGGTATGACAAGCTTCAACCAAGCCTGACCACCCGACCCCCTTAGTCGCCCTTACGATAAGCGTGGGTTTCCGAAGACCTATTCTAACTGTATAAAGACCTTAGTTTTAACCCAGACCTTACGGGGTATATCGTTATGTGGAACTTCGATGAATATCGATCACAGTGTTCACGAAATATTACAAATAAAAAGACTCGCAGTAAAATTTATGCTATTTTAATAATTATATATTTTGAATAAGATCCCAAAATAAACAAAATTTTGTAGGGATGGCCAGGCCATGGGTTGTTGAAGACTTATTCTAACCCGGATACTGGTTGTTATTTGTTTTCTTTCAAACAGAAAGAGAGTAGTAAAATGTCTTCACCTAAAGGTTACATATACGACCTTCCAGAGCGCCATGAATCCGTGACTTCGTTCCTTGAACAATTAGAAGTCGTCCACTATTAACAAAGATTAGAGAGGGCGAAGGATGTATTAGTCAATATAACTAGTACGTATTCTGGTTTGTTAATGACTGGTTTGTACAATATTAAATAATTATTTTTTTATGATTCCTTCAATTCAAACTGTCTTCGGAGATTGAATTCAATACCAGTATACTTGTGAAATCGAGTTGACTTAATGTCCACTAAAGCCGGTGTTCTTGTAAGCTGATACTGTCGATGCCAAAACACGCACCAAGTATTTCCAGGGGCTCCTTTGTTCAACCAGGAATATACGGGAAATGTTATGTAACAATTCTATTAAAGTGTATGGTTGTTATCAGTTCTGTTCTCTGAGGTTCGTTATATGTACCTATCTACCGCATATATATGTAGCATTGTGAATGCAGGTAAATATCGACCTATATGTTTTAGCTGTTGTTCCTGTATTTGTGATGCCATTGACTAATGTTAATGTCATCGATAAGCAATCAGTTGATCGAGGTAAGAATCGAAGAAGTTGTAATCTGAACGACTCCGCCTAGATTAATCCATGTTAATAGCCCATCCTTATAAACGATTTGTGTAACAGTGCTACTACAAGACATTAGAAATCATCAGAGAAATGCGCTGAAAATTCTAAGGAACAGACGAATAAGTTGTTTTGTTTGTTTGTTGTTTAACGCCGCACTCATCAATATCCCAGCTATATGACGGCGGTCAGTAAATAATCGAGTCTGGACCAGACAATCCACAGATTGACATTATGAACATCGATCCACGCAGTTGGGATATGATGGTCGCATTTTACGGCAAGCATGGGTTGCTGAAGACCTATTCTACTCCGGATCTTCACGGGCCAGACGAATAAGGGGAAGTGACTGTCTACGAAATCCCGATATATCAATCAACTTCCAATCATCTGTCGAAGACACCCCAAGTAACTTAGAGTTGCCATGTTTAATTCGTTACTATATGTCTAGTATATTTGGAAGTATTTAGTAATATTGTTTTTCAGAGGAAAGGGCATACACACAAGTGAGATGTGTGTGAGTGCACGCAATGCTTGAAGCACCCCAACTGGGAGAAAAACATGAAGGAAACGATGTTGACAAGAGTGTGGTATCTACATTCAATCCTAATCCTGAAAGATGTGTCGATGGTTCATACCTCCCTATTTAAAATCCAAGTACAGTGATACTGCAATAGTAAAACTAAAGGCTGTTCAGTCCACACAACAAATATCGTAAAAAAAGACAAGGCAAAACTTCTACAGTACCGACACCTTTTATTGCAGTCGGTGAACATGCAGGTTCCTGTCGGTGGTGAAGACCAGTAGGCTCTCGCCGCCGGCGTCATTGTGTATGGACACGTCTCCAGCCCTTAGTGCAAGTCCGTTAACGCTTGTCTTTGGCAGTCGTAAGGTCTTATGTCGCTGGCGGTACATGACTGGGGAGGTAAGCAGCCCAACAAGCCATCAGGTACAACGTCAACGTACAACCCAACGAAACTATAGTAGTCTGCAAGAAATATGCATGTGACGTGCTAAACAACAACGCAAACGCTGATG